TATCTGATATTGTTTTAAAGGGTTTTTCGCTTTTTCATTATTTTATTGTTTTTCTTTTGGTTTTAATGTCTAGCTGTTATTCATTGCTATATTGAAAGGTTGCATTTTTTCTTCACCTGCTGCAGTGGCTCGTTCTGCAAACAGGTATTCGGTAGGGGAAGTAACTCTTACAAACCATTAATATCCATGTTTATAGTTCAAGATACTTGTATAATAACCCATTCAAAACCCTTATACGTTGTCGAATTTAAACAGCATTTTCAACAATAACGTTATTGGTAATATAATGCCACGAAGTACTTGTAACTTCCGACATTGTTACAAGATCAAATATGCAAATCACCGAGTTTTGAGCCAAAACTTTTGCAAAAATACAATTGTTGTTGATAATAAAAATGTGCTGACATTTAATAAAAATCATTCAATTATCAAATATTTTGCAATCATGAATATATGATTTGAGAATGGAAATTGGTATTAAATCATATATACAAATTTAATGAATAAAATATAAAATCCCTTAAAATCATAAAAAAGATAAAGATAATAATATTTAGAGCATAATCTTCATTTCAAATCTGATATAAGAACAATTTATTGCAAAACTCATTTTAATTGCAAAACTGGTTTTGAAATAAATGCTACAAAATTATGTCATCGCAACGAGTTTTGCAATAATGTTGTAAATACGTTCTGAAAAGTATTTGTAAGCTTCGGCATTGTTACAAGATCAAATATGCATATCACAGAGTTTTGAGCCAAAGTGTTCGCTGTGTGTGCTGATGTTTAATACAAAACACATTCAATTATCATCTATTTTGCAATAATAAATAACTAATTCTTAACTGGAAATTGATGTTAAATCATATATACAAATTTAATGAAAGAACTCACTGTATGTCAATCCTTATAAAAAGATAAATAGAGCATCGAAACACGAGGCTATCTGATTTGGGCGTAGCCCCCGAGCATTAACCAGATTGCCGAGTGTTTTGATGTTCTTCTCTTTTGTCAAACATATTAACACGTTCCCTGATGTCACAATATGAAACCCCAGAAAAAAGAAACCAATCAACGAACATCTGAATATGATATTGCTATCGCTTTCCCTTTCTCTGCCGTCACAATATGTAAACCCCAGCAAAAATGAGCCAATTAGTGGGCATGCTCTGGAGTACCTGCACTCCAGTTAACGCACTGTGCATGTATATGTATACGATTTAACTCTGACACATTTTCAACAGAAAGGTCCCCAAACTATGGTACAATAATAATTTCCAGTTTGTGACCTTGACCTTGTTAGAGGTCGGAGTGTCGCGCATGATTCATTGGTGAATATTGTGCAAACTTATTTCAAAATACTTTGATGAGTGAAAAAGTTGTGGATCTGACACAAAAAGTCATTATAACAGACCACTTTAAGTTTTGACCTTTTAGTGTGACCTTGACCTTGGAAGTAGGATTCTGAGTGTTGTGTATGACATGTGGTCCTATTATGATAAACATGTGTGATATATCATTTTAAAATCCCTTTATAGATGAAAACGGTAAGGATTGGACAGGAAATATACTCCCCATAAAATATTGTTGACTGTCACCATTGTCTCGCAAGCACGTTGTCTTAGATAGTGAGCATTTGTGCCAAGTTATTTCAAATACCTTGAAGGACTTAAAAGTTATAAACCTGACACGAATTGTATCCTCCATCAGACAATGTTGACCTCTGATCTCCTAGTGGGACCACCGTGGAGGTCTGGTTGTTTCTCACGACAGGTCGTCCTAATTTGATGAACATATGTTATTTCAAAATCCCTTGATGAACGGCTGAGTTTAGGAGCGGGCAGGCGGACGTAGCCTTTTTATGTATCCCTCTTTTTCTTCAAAAAGGCGGGAGACAAAAACGTATACCAATGTGTTTAATCACCAAGGGGCTTTTTGGATAAATTGTAGTCGTCAATTTATGATACCGACTAAGATGACTTCATTATAACCAATTTATTTAAACACTACAGCAAATCATTTCCTCATTTCTTACATATGTCGCCAGATTACAGACATAATGGAAATATTAACATAATACCACCAGCTACTTGTTAAACATGAATTAAAATTTTGCGACATTTAACGGTAGTGTTGCGACATATAACGGTAAGGGAAAATCGTGCGACATTAAACGTTACCATTGCGGCATTTAACGGCAGACGATTTTGCGACATTTAGCGGCGGTTGCGATATTTAAGAAATACTATAAGAAATAATATATCTCAAACAGTGATTTTATCGCTCAATAACATCACTGTTTGGAGTTCGGATGCGAGGAATTATATCACGAGGGCGTACACATTTATAGCCGTGCGACCAATTGTAAAAGGCGATTTGCTAGACTGATAAACAGTTTGCCGATTTACCAAAGTTAATGTGTTACGATTCATTTAAAATTCTGCAATCCTATTGGACAAACTTTAATTTTAAACACTAAATCACTAGAGCTCTGTAGGAGCACATTTGTCTCGGAACACATTTGTCTTACGTAAGACCGATGCGGTCGCATTTGTCCCACATGAGACAAATGGGACCTCAAATGTCTACCCCAAAAAACTCATTTGTGTGACAAATGTGCTCCGATCAAGTTTTTTAAGGGACAAGAAAGCACATTTGTCTCATGCCATTATTTATTAATTATTTGTCACATATTTCCCCACGGCAGAAATTCTTTTTTAGAATCGAGGTTTGCCGTTTTGCCTCATGTGTAATAATCAATAGTACGAACTTGAAACAACGATTGTACGATGGTGAAACAACGATTGTACGATGGTGAAACTACGATTGTACGATGGTGAAAACGTGATGGTACTATGGTGAAAGACGATGTTACAATGGTGAAAATACAATGGTACGATATGGTGAAACTGCGATGGCATGATGATGAAAACGCGATATTATTTTCTCTATCGTGTCATTGCATCATCGTGATTCCACCATCGTGCCATCGTGTTTTTTTTAATCATCGTACCATCTCAATTTCACCTTTGTACCATTGTGCATAGCTGTTCAGGGAGACAAAATGCTACTTATGTCCAAACGGAACACCGTAATCGGTTGATATTGAATGATACAATATCGTGACTCGTTTCGCATCTCGCCGAAATCTCGCGTCTCGCTTCGCATCCCGTTCGTCGACGCGAGACAAGAAATTGATTCCAGGTCATATACCGCTAAGTAGTATTCCCTTTATAGTCTACATAAATCACTTAAAGGCCCATTATGCCTGAGAAAAGCTTTAATTTGTATTCCTCAAAAGTTTTTTATTTTTGGTATACTTTTATAGCTCCAAAAAGTTACTCATTGGCTAATTACCTGAAGCATTTTTCATCTGCTGCTTTTTTGCAGTTTGTACAGTTGAAGTGATTTAGAATTTTGGATTGAAGTCAATTTACTACATTGTTTACATTTTGCTACTTTTATGACGCATTATTTCACATTTATCGCGAATTTCTTTGGGTTACAAGCATCTAACTTCCTCAGAAATCATTATTTGAATATTAATAAATTCATACTTGCCCTATCTAAAGAAGTAAATATTTATTCATTTTTGAAATCTTTTGGTACAAGATACTTCGACATTGCGAGATCTCCTGTTACAATATCGTGCCTCGCTTCGTGTCTCATAGGAATGTCGCGTCTCGCCCGATTCTGAGTGGTCCGATATTCCATAATTATGGCATTACCCGGATTGTTTAGGAACTCATGCATGTTGTAAGTGCCTTTTCAATGGCGAACCTGAAAGACGCAATTCTTGGAAAATGACGATTTTTATACATATATTTCTGATGAAGTGTAATGGTCTTCTTATTTTCTCCCCCTAACCGCTGTAGGTTCGACACATACACGGGGCGTCGAACTATCCATGCGAGGATCCCGGACAAGGTCCAAATGCGCAAAACATATGCGCGTGCGCACGTAACCACGGAAAAGCTATCGTGTGCGCACGTAATAAATAAGAAAATTCTATGTCCCCTTTATGCCACCGTAGATACTACCTTGTTTTTGCTAAGAATATTTCTAGTGCCATAAATCATCTATAAAACTTTAAGCATTAAAAAAAACGTATCGCAATTAATAACGATAAGAATAGACTTGCTGCATATGTGTTTAGGTTCTGGATGCTGCACTTGTAGAAATTTTCATTGTGACATGCAGAACAGAGATATTCTTTAATATAATATATGACTCCTATGCAGAGGCAGAAAGTTTTTGACTGACCGGGAGTGACCTAAAAACGGTATTATAAATACAGAAAACACAGATCAATGGCTGGCAGCCTGTATACAGATGGACATTATTATTACCTTTTAAGAATTGTATGGAAAAAATGTGAGACAAATGTGCTTCGAGTGTCCTTTCTATTGTTTGTCGAACACATCTGTCTCATTTCCAATTTGTCGCATATATGACTGTTTACGAACACATCGGTCACACTTCGTGAGACAAATGTGCTCCGAGACAAATGTGCTCCTACAGAGCTCAGTCCGCATTTTGTTTTTGAGAAATATGTCATAAGAATATCCAACTGATACATTATTATCAATATTTGAAATACTTTTGGAAAAGGCCCATTGTAGACCAATCCACTTTAATTTTAAATTATTTGCATTACGTAAGCCATGAATATAAAGTCATCTAGTTTCATTATATGTTTACATTTATGTTTTCCTCAAGTTTATTTAGATTATTCAAACTTAAAGTGATATAAATAACACTGAAAATAGCAGCTTGCTTACTTCATTTTAAAATGAACGTGTTCTTAAACCGTCATGCTGAAATAATGCCCTAAATTTGTTGATGACCGAAGAAGGAGGGAAACCTGCGTAGTGGCATTCATTAGAGACATGTCCAAGAGGAACGCCATTTTTATGTCCACAGTGCTTTGCTGCCTTTGATGTACTCACATGTCGTTTCGCACAATATTATTAACATAACATTGTTATTTTATTTTTCAGCAATTGTTAATGTGCAAGGTGGACTATCAAGACTAAAGAGAGAAACTGCAGATCTAACCCCGGGAAACTGGGACAGTTGTAAACCGGTAAAACTTATATCATTCGTTATAGGTCATATCTGGGACAGACAGATACACAATAAGTACATTTTTAATCCCAGGTCATATGAACTTCGCAAACTTCGGAAATTTTCCTATCTTACAATTGTTTAGAATATTGTGCAGCAACAGGGCAATGTACCACTCATGGTCAATGTCTGTTGTTAAGATTATTTATACTGTCCTCGGGAATTAACCACAATGTCTGCGCACTTGCTGGTCCGGTGTTCATTTTCTCATCTGCGGCAACTTGGGATGTTGTAATACAATATCATCATAATATACCATTTCATGAGATAGAACACAAAATGGGCGCAATTTATTGAAACGCTTGTAATCTATAACAAGATTCTTTTCATGTAACAGTATTATTTATGAAAATGAAATACAACAATAATACAACAATAATTTTATGTCTAACAAACAAAAAACCGTGATATTTATCAAAGAACACACGCACACGCCCCACCCCCACACAAATGTAGAACTAACGAGAAGTTAGTAGAAGTCTTTTTATGGTTAATACCAGTATATAAAACCAAAGCCAATTATTATTTTTGTGCAGATTTCATACGTTGAACCATAATTTGCGTACCAAAATTAAGTCATCGTAGCAACGCAAATGGTTTGGTTTCTTTTATAGTTTTATTATTTCTGATACATGCATGTGCGTCGTTGAAATCTGTGAATTTATTAGAGACACGTATACAATATATTACAAACATAAAATGGAGGGTAAATGAAGTTTTGTATTTGACATTATCTAATCTATATCATAATTTATCAGGCCATATAAGTTTAGTAGGGCAGAATAATGAGGTAAGCTGTAAAATTAGTCTCGAGACAAATGCGTCGTCAAAATTTGCACATTTTTGTTTTCAGGACTGTTAATATTAAAGCAGCATGCATCGAGATTCATGCTAATTTTCATGAAAATTTGAAAATGTATTTAAAAATACAATATTGTAAAATTACCGAAAGAATGCAATTTAGACATTATCAGTGGCACTTACAACCCATGTTAGTTACCAAAAAGTGGTCAAAATATACAAAAATAGCTCTTACTGTGTTAGTAACGCAGTAAAAATAAAGTTATAAATGCTGAAAAATAGGTCATTGATTTCACATAACATGTAAACTATTACTAGAATTTTGAATCTTCTTCCTTTTCCTAAAATCTTAATACATTTTTCTCAGGTCTGGTTTTATTGAAATATTTTTTGCTCATCTGGAGGCGTGCAGCTTTAAGGTCCTATCTTGCATATCTTTAAGACTTTAACTTTACTGCGTCGTTGATAATGTGCCTTAGTTTTCCCGGGACATTTAAAAATAGTAACTTATCACAGAACTGCTTGAAATTTCACTTAACAGCGCCGTCAACATATGTGCCATTGTTTGGAAAAAAAACACTTCTACAAATAGTGACCTATATCATGAATGCTTGAAGAATCGAGTTTACTACGCCATTAAAACTGACGCCATTGTTTTAGAAAAGACGGGACACATTTTTCAAATAGCGCATGATCTCATAGACACTTGAAAGGTAGAATTTACTGCTTTTATGATGGTCATTAAATGTGTGATTGATAGTTTTTATTGTAGGCAATCTATATTGACTGTATTAAGTATGATGTTATATTGCCTATATAGATAACATATGTAAATTTCTTCAGTTCGTAAACAAACAAGTAAGTATTCAAACAATGGCACATATCGCAGCTATATAACATTATAATATATCAATAAATTTGTCTGTAGGAGGTAATAATATATATGACTCAGATAACAGCTGTATTTGGAAATTTTCTAAAGGAGGCTTATTTACTTGTCACTTTTCTTTCATGAAACACCCCCTTACCAAAGATGTTTAAATTATACATGACATCAAACTTATTGTGCAATTATGGCTGATCTGTTTGTCGGAAATGGTAAAATGAAATTTTACAAAAAGGGATAACTGGTGATAGAAATAAATTAAATATCCTGTAACTCATCTTTTTATGGTTTTATATCATAAATATGATGCTCAAATGCAGATTTATCGATATCGTAAGCTCCAAAAAGCATTATTTGTAAAGATATTACCGAATTTACATTTTATGTTAATAAGGGGAGGTAATTAAAATGTATTTTCTATAAAGTCGAATCCAAATTTTTCAATAAGAAATGAATGCATACATGTATATGTCAATGATTACATATACTGCATTTAAACATTTGCAGTTCATATTTTACATATTCTTGGATGTTTGAAATTTTTTTTAGAAGCATAATTATATACATATATAAAATTTCATGTAAGTGTTGTTACAACGTACCAGCCCGCATAGCTCAATCGGTTAGAGCGCGAGACTTGTAATCTCGACATCCCGGGCTGGCCAACTAAAATTACTAAACAATCTCTCGGATGAGACTTTAAATGGAGGTCCCATGTATGGGTGCTTCAACACTTGGCACGCTAAAGAACCAGGAGAAGCTTCTGGAATTGGGGCATCTTTCTGTATCTCCTCCAAACAATAAAATGACTAATAACTTCTGGAGGACTGGCCCATATGGGCAACCGGTGGCAAGCATAAATAAACGCAAATACACACAAATTGTTACAACGTTACTTACAACATACATAGTTGTTAAAATAATTACATGTTTAATCGAATATATTTCTTTCGAAAACCATATAGTTGATTTTCGAAAGAAATATATTCGATTAAACATGTACTATTTAAACAACTATGTATTGTAACAACACTTACGTGGAATTTTATATATCACCATCTGGAGGCAAAAACATAAAATTGTTCTAAAACAATTTTCAAACATCCAAGAGTATGTAAAATATGTAAAACTTTGTGACAAAAAAAAATCAAGATTAATACAAAACGTCAAAACTATTTCGTATAAAATATTTCTTCTAAACAAGATTGAATTACCCTTTGCCCCCCCTCCCCAACCAGGATCTGTTACGAATGAAAAAGGCATGGTATGATTTCTTTTCAGGGTGCTGAGGCCCCGCCAACACGAGTCAATACAGCTGACAGGGTGACTCAACTAAGAAATTACTTTGCCACTCAAGGTATCCAGGGTTACCTGATACCCAATGAGGATGCTCATCAGGTAATTTCCGAAAATGTTCGAATGATGTGAATCACAACATACCCTTTATTGTCCGAATATCGCTAAATATAAAAGTATTGAACATTTTTAACAAGGGTCAGTAAAAGTCTTAATTTTTACAGCAAGTTTTTGGCTAACATATTGTGTTTAAGTTTATCTTAAAAAATGTTTAATTTTTATTTCTTTGTAAATATGTTTCACTTATTTTGATTGCATATGTACTGATCATGTTCTTTATAATTGAATATATATCACAAGCTACAGCCAAATCTTTAATCACTAATCACATTCAAGAGCACAACATGGATTCCTTCTTGCCCATCATACTTTCAAACCAATAAAAATTATTAGTAGGTAAATGATTGTTTTATATCAGCACACAAAAGTTGAAGAGTTGGCATGACAAGACTATGAAAATGGTTTAAAGATTAAAAACAGGTCAAAAGGGGGAGTTATCATCTCCAGTGGCGGGTCATGAATGCACAACAATCCCGTTGCAAATAAATAAAATTCCACTCCGCGAAAGTACAATTGTAATTATTCATAATCAAATTTATGAAAATGTAACATCTAAACTCATTTCGATGATAATCACAGCATACCCTTTATTGTCCGAATATTGCTAAATAAAAAAGTATTAAACATTTTTAACAAGGGTCAGTAATTTTAAGTCTTAATTTTTACTAACATATTGTGTTTTAGTTTATTTTAAAAAATGTTTAATTTTTATTTCTTTGTAAATTTGTATCACTTATTTTGATCATAGTGATTGCGTATTTACTGTCCATGAACTATAGAATTGAATTCATATCAAATCTGTACTCAGAAACCACACTTTAAGAGCACTTCTTGTTCAATCAATACAATATTTCATTAGTAGGTAAATGATTGTTTTCTATCAGCACACAAATGCTGCTGCACAGTTCATCATAATTGGCCGTTTATAAATGTGTCGACTTGATAAGACTATGAAAATTGTTTCAAAGTCAAAAGGGTTAAAAAGGGGGAATTATTCATCTCCAATACCGGGACATGAACGCACAACAATCCCGGGCAAGTAAATCAAATGCTGTGACTTTGGCCACTCGGTCACATAGTTTTTGTCAAAGGGTAGGAAAAAGTTGTTCACAATTCATATCTATTTATGATCACAATCTATGGAAATATAACATCTTAACTCATTTCGATGTTACTAGATATTAATATTAATAAGTCCTTTTTTGAATTTGTACAATTGTCTGATTTATTTTCATAGAGCGAGTATCCGTCACAGTATGACAAAAGAAGGGGTTACATATCCGGTTTCCAGGGATCAGCAGGTACCTAAATATCAAATTCTATAAAACCTAAAACAAACAACAAACAAAACGTAAAGAAAAAAAGAATATAACACCGATTTTGTCACGCAAATTATCTTCATATATGAACATTTTTTGTTGAGTTGATTACTTTTGAAACATACAATTATATTGATTGATTTATTGAATGTGTATTTTTTTAGAACACAATGAGTAAATGGGAGCTCTGTGCAATCACAGTTAGCACGATAATGCATTTTCTAAGAATCATGTTTTGTTGTGAACTCTCCGTAGAGCATTCTCTTTAAATTTAATTCCCTTTTTTATTTTTGGGAATAAATTTGTGTCTGAAAACAACACTCGAATCTTAAGGCCATTCACGAAGATCCATATATGTATTTTATCTAAACTTCAATTTATTTTTGGAATTAACTTTTACACATGCAATTAGAATAAGAGACCATTCTTTGCAAATGAAAAGAATTTTGATAGTTTGATAGGAAATACAGAGAACAATCCTTATCTGAAAAACTGCGTAAAGTCCACTCTGATATGGCTCTGTTATCATAAATGCTTATAGATAAAGTTAACATATCTGTCCAGGGTTTGCTGTGATTACCATAGACAAGCAGGCGTTATGGACAGACGGACGGTATTTCCTGGAAGCTGAGGACACACTCGACTGTAACTGGATCCTTATGCGTCAGAGTAAGGCTTGAAACAGGCTTGAAACAGTTTTAATTTATTTTGAATTTAACTTCAAACTGTCCACATACAGATGACAAAAATAGTAGCCAGTCTTTCAAATTCATTTTAAACCTAATATTGGCTGCTTAATCAATATAATAGCTTTTTTATTTGCAGCAGGCCTTATTCGAGGTTTCTATTGCATGTCATACGGAACAACCTAAATGTTTATATTAAGTATTTGAAATAATTTATGAAGAAGGTCATAAGCAAGTATAGTTTAATTGGAGCACATTTACTTTAGCATACTCTGGAAGATAAACAATTTTAGCACACTTGCTAATTGGGGCTCCCGCCGAAACAACACTACTTTTTACATATTTATGTCTTAAATTTCTAGATGAGACCTAGTCACAGAAACGCGTGCATATTGTTTATTTCCGTGGTCCACTTAATTAGATAATATTAGATTCATGACTATTAATACACCATAAAATGATACTGTCCAATCCTTAAAATGATATAGTCGAACCTTAAAATGATACTGTCCAATCCTTAAAATGATATAGTCCAATCCTTAAAATGATATAGTCGAACCATATAATGATACAGTCAAACCTAAAAATGATTTTGTTTTATCCTTAAAATGATACAACTGAACCTTAAAATGATATTGCCCAATCATTAACATGAAATAGTCTACCTTAAAATGATACTGTCCAATCAATAATATGATATAGTCGAACATTAAAATGATATTGCCCAATCATTAAAATGATAAAGTCAAACCTTTAAATGATATTGTCCAATCCTTAAAATGATATAGTCGAACCCTAAAATGATACTGTCCAATCTATAACATGATATAGTCAACCTTTAAATGATATAGTCCAATCCTTAAAATGATTCAGTCGAACCCTAAAATGATACTGTCCAATCTATAACATGATATAGTCAACCTTAAAATGATATTGTCCAATCCTTAAAATGATTCAGTCGAACCTTTAAATGATATTGTCCAATCCTTAAAATGATATAGTCGAACCCTAAAATGATACTGTCCAATCTATAAAATGATATAGTCAACCTTAAAATGATACTGCCCAATCTTTAACATGATATAGTCAACTTAAAATGATATAGTCAAACCCTAAAATGATGATGTCCAATCTATAACATGATATAGTCAATCTTAAAATGATATAGTCGAACCCTAAAATGATACTGTCCAATCTATAACATGATATAGTCAACCTTAAAATGATACTGCCCAATCTTTAACATGATATAGTCAACTTAAAATGATATAGTCAAACCCTAACATGATACTGTCCAATATATAACATGATATAGTCAATCTTAAAATGATATAGTCGAACCCTAAAATGATACTGTTTAATCTTTAACATGATATAGTCAACCTTAAAATGATACTGCCCAATCTTTAACATGATATAGTCAACTTAAAACGATATAGTCGAACCCTAAAATGATACTGTCCAAATCTTAAAATGATATAGTCAATTTAAAAATGATATAGTTAATGCTTTTAGTGAAGTATTTCTTTTTTCCGTCATAGATGAGCCGGGCGTGCCAACCATGATAGAATGGTTAAAGCAAGAATTGTCACGAGGAAACTTCTTTGGTGCGAGCCCCTTCCTCATCGGCAGCTGTAAGTTTATCTACTAACAATAATGATACACGGAATAGTTTTCTACTGTGTAAATAAAAATATCAGTTGGCATGAGATAGGGATATTATGATAAGAATTGTTTAACCATTTTGCAGCAACAGTATGTATACATGCGACCAGTGGCAGACCAACGCTAGTGGGCACATCCGTCTAGACTGCACATGATCTGCACTATTCGCAATTCAGTCAAAACACCTTTTTGAATTTTATGCTGAATTGTTTGTTTCAATAGGAAATGACATAATACACAATATTTATCAATATAATATACTTACATTACAAACATTGTAACACATTGTTATATTTATCATTTTTATTTTACTATATTGATATTTCTATGTCACAGTTTGATTACGGCATAATAGCCAAAGTCATCAGTTTTCAGTAAGAAGGAAACTTACCATCACGAATCCTTTCAAAATTTTATATGCTTAATCACTGGGCTCATACAATATGGACTTATGTATCGCTCACTCAAAATACGTCATTGTAGTAATATGGTAAATTGTTAAAGTCTCATGACGTAATTCATTTTATTTTTTCTAAAAGCCGACTGGAAATATTACAAAGAAGAGCTTTTAAAGTCTGGAATTTACATGGATCCGGTGCCGGATGAACTGGTTGATCGGTTTTGGAGCTCGGGTCTAGGTCGTCCCATGCAGCCAAATTCTCCAATAAACATGTTACCAATGCAGTTTGCAGGTAAGAATATGTGTTATACCATATAAAACTTCAATACATCATAAAACTGCCAGTGTTTTCTTTGACTGTTATTAAACTATTCAAAATTAGTTTGGAAATTCACAACACAAATCGTGTGGCTATGTTTCTTAATCATAAATAAGTAATATTTCACAGCGTTGCTTACAGTATGTATAACCAGCCCGAAGCTCATCAGTAACGGGTCGAGTCTTGGACGCGGCACGCGTTTTTCTGCAGCGACTTGGATGACGATACTGTATCGACTTATATTTACGTGCAAATCGAGATATAAAAGTTAATAGATGTAGATTCAATGTTAACGTTAATTGTATCAATATAGTGCTTAACTCTATTAACATTCAAACATTAGGTATACAAAAATTTGTAATTTAAAAGACTCTGCATTATCAAAATGTAAAACATTCTGAGACATGTTACATTATATTTTAGGTCGTTCATGGCAAGATAAAGTCAAGGATATGCGAGAAGCGATGGACGAGAAAGAGGTAGACATGATGGTTGTAACGAGTTTAGATGAAACAGCTTGTAAGTTCGGGAGATGCTAGTTCTTTTGACGCTTCCGCCTTTTATAGTGTATTTACATGGATTTTTTTTATTTTCTAAAAAATGAATGATAGCTTATATGTTAATAATTTTCGTATATTTCAAGATTTTATTTCTTTACTGTGTTTTAATGACAAAAACTGCAACATTCTATTTTTAACACTATGTTCTGTAATATTGAAGTTCTTGTCTACAGTTTGGTAGAACACGTTTTCGACATAATATATACAAACCTGTTTTGTCAAAGAGCATAATAAACAAATACGTAGAGAGATAAATGAAGTTAATTTGTATGTTTACTGTAATCATAGACAAATAATATTGCTTTTCTTGTTTTTCAAAAGCAAAGCATGTTTTCCTTGACATGTATTGACACTATTTTGTATATCATGACTCAGTACCACATGTGATACGGTTTTAATAGAAGAAGATAAGAAATAAAAGATAGAAAAAAGAGTAATAGGATTAAAGATAATTATTGTATGTCTTGAAATCTATGTATCATTTTGTAAAAACAACTTGAATTTTCCCCATTATGATCACTTGATACTGATCTATTATTGACTGTTTTTCAGGGTTATTTAACTTGAGGGCTGGTGACATTGACTACAATCCTTTCTTTATTTCCTACGCTATTTTGGAAAAAGACAAGATCACGTATGTTTACAACATTTGTTAATTTAACTTGTATTTCATTGACACATATGGGGCATTTATAAACGTTTAAATTGGTATGGCTCCTTGTGATGAAGCAAAGTTTCTAATATTTGCATTATAACCACTGACTAGCTGCTCTACAACCGTTTATACTCAGACGTCTTTCAGTATATTGCTTGTTGAAACGTCCAAAATGTTTCTTATTTCCTTATTTGGTATATCTCTCTCTATATGAATACAGAATTAAAAGTGCTTCATGTTAAATTTATTATACATGTGAAACATTACAAGCAGTGGAATTATTTGCTGTGTTTTTTTAACGAAGTTTAATCAGAAATCATTTGTTTTTATTGATGATGTGACAAAATATTTTTAAGCAGTTCATTGTAGAATTTAAAAAAATATATTTAGATGATCATAAGAACGGACAGTAGCTAATTTTGATAATGATTTTGTGTCCTTAAAATTTCTTATATTGTTAACAATAACAATTTTGTATTCTAATTCAATTAAAGGCTGTTTCTTTTGGAGCATTTGAACAAGATAACGGCCGAGCCAACAGACGAAGCTGCCACATCCACTGTAGCTGTACATCTAAATACTAACAATGATGGTACTTGCGGAGGAAAAACAGCAGATTGTGTTGAGGTACATGTCTACGAGTATATGTCCAGTTGTATGAATATGTATGAATTAAGAAAATAGGAATTTAAAAAGCTGTCCAATTTAACAGAAAATATGTCAGATTAAGGTGCAATCTGCACAAGGACGAAAATGCAAACATGTTAGGTCCCATCTCTTGTTATCAATAGGGAATATTCTATGAGTTTTGCTTTTCTGAGGAATTTACCCATTTAAAAGTTTTTTTTTTAAAGTTTTAAAGGACAAAAGGGTAAACAATGTAAAAACTTACTAAAATAACAAAGAGTGGGACAATCCTTTAGGATAGTTCGCTTATTTTTTTTTATTTTTTTCTGTTAAAATACCTAAAAGGAAATCAAAAAAAATTTCAAAAACGACACTTTTAAACAGTGGGAGATTTGTTTTTTAAGTTTTTTAAAAAAAAAAAAAAAATTCCCTTTTTTTTCATTAAAAAGGAAAATTTAAAAACAGGGAAAAAAACCCCCCCCAGGGGGGAAAAAACCCCTTTTTTTAAAAAACTTTTGGGAGATAGAAAATTTTTTTTCGAAATGGGGACACCACTATTTTAACCCGTTTTGTTATATTCTATTTCAACCCTATAACATACATCAGAGATACATATTTTTTTTTTGGAAACTTTTACAAGGAACCAAAAAGAAAATATTTTGAGAAAAAAAGAAAGCATTTCTAAGGGAAATGGACCTTTAATAATGCATTCATCAAGTATTTAATATTGTGTTGATTTATGTAAAGGTAAAAGCGTATAACCCGGCTGATGTTGTCAATGTTGTAAAAACAAGAGCACAGACATACAATAAAGTATGGTTGGGATATTCCTGTAACCAAGCTGTCTACTCAGCCATCAATGAGGTATGAAATCTTATTATTGAATTATCTATAATAGCAATACTTTAAATGGTGTATGGCTTTTAAAAAAAGTTCAATCCCAAAAAGAGGCTGTCACTGTTTTTTTCGGTGGACCATTTGCTATTACCCTGAAAGAATGTTGCTATTTAAAGAATAATATTTATTTTACTGAAGACTTTCGTTTACACAGAAAATATTTTCGAAAAATAGCAATTTATGATATACAGAAATGAAAAAACAAATGAACAATCCACGTGTTATTTATATAGATTGTTTTCAATACTCTAAAAGAATTAACTGTAAATGATTACACAGTAGTCTTTGAAGTTATATAATCATTATCTTTGTAATATAACAGAGCAAAATCCATCAAGATAATACTCCAATAGCCACAACGAAGACAAGGAAAAATGAAGTAGAGGTGGAAGGGATGAAAAAATCTCATGTAAGTAACATAATAGAATGTGAGGAATCATTCATTTTATTCCAATAACTCTAAAAATCGTCTTTCAACTCTTGGATACAATATTTTTTTGTTTGCTTTGTTTCAAATTACGTTAATAATTCATATTTAAGTAAGCAGCATCTGAATACCTTTGGTTGGGTTGTACGCCGCACTAAAACATTAAAGGCCATATGGGGTCTTTCCAAGCTTTACTGGCTGAGGAAGAGATCAGGTGCCCATCTGTGCTTTTTTTCAAGCACGGACAGGCACTTGAGTAGAACCTTTTTGTGGAAATAAGTATTGTTTCAGTATATCTTATTCAATCCTGTGACCATCTTTCTTTCTTTAGACTTTAATAGCGATGCTGTATTTTTCATCGGCGATCACCCCTAGCACCGGCCTTTCATAAATTTACACTAACACATTAAAAGTAAAGACATTATTAACAGTCTTTAATACTTTGTAAGAACAAATGACAGTACTTTGCCGGAACTGAACTTAAACGATAAATTTTCAAACTACAAGAAGATGTATATTTATAAATTAAGATTATTTTTAAAGCAGAATGAAATAAACTGATAGTTTCTTTCTGATTTAGATACGCGACGCTGTAGCTTTGATAACATTCCTGGAAAAGTTAGAGACAGACGTAAAAGCTGGAAAGAAGTGTACAGAATTGTCTGCCGCAGATGATCTAAAACAACTCAGACTGTATGTAAAATTATCTTATTTTGTCATTTGTTCATGATACGAAGCAAACAATAATGAATGTAAATTATTTTATATTGTCTGGAAAGTCCAGTAATGGAAAGACCTGCTTCTTATAAAGAAGGTCATATGACTCTCTCTGGAGTTTCACATTATTTAATTCGTCTACATGTATATGAATAGATTTAACCGTTTGTTTACAAAGTTTCTCCTTTTTTATTTGCTGTAGTATCTGTCCTTGTTTAAGCCAGAGCGAAATCTCCCAGAAGGTACTTTCACTGGCTTTATTGTATGAACGCTCTCTTCCCGCAAGCGGTTCTCCTGGGGAGGTTTGCTTTTTTTGTCCTTCCCCTTTTTCCCGTCAAACCCGGTAAACCCCCATTTACTTTATTGGGTTTTTGATTACAAAAAAAAAAGTGTTTTTCCATATTTTTAATTTTCTCCTTTTTCTTTTAAAATTTGAATTTTGGGTTTTAAATCAATTTCGGAAAAATTTTTAACCGGAAACAACCCAAATACCCAATTTTATTTCTTCCCGGGTTAAAAAGGCTTTTTAATTTTTTTAAATTAGGGGAAAAGAGGTCAAACCACCGTTTATGTATTCTTTATTAGGGAAAATTTGCCAAAATACGTGCTTTAATTTTAAAATTAAATTTTAAACATGATACAGGGGGGGCCCACGACATAAATTTAGAGGGTCTTAAGTTTTGCATCTATAACTTTAAAAATCCGGGCAATTTTGGACCAAATTTTCATTCCCCGGCCCCACATTTCCTAAACCGATAAAAAGAAAAAAAAACGAAAATTGAAATTTTTCTTTCTTTTAAACTCTTTTGGCCCATACCGGGTTAAGTTTAAATGGACTAAGTTTTTGAAGGCCAAATCGGCTTGGCGGGGTTTGGGGGTTCCCATACGGAACCCGGAAGGCCCCTTTTTTTTTTTGGCCCTGCTTAATGTTTCCCTTTTCCCAACCCCCCAAAGGGGAAATTTAACAAAAAATGCCCGTTGCATTCAAAATTGAAAAGTCATAAACAGGAAAAAAGGGAAAAGGGGGAAGTTTAAAAATTTAAAAGAAACCCCCCCTTAAAAAAATAAAAAAAATTAACCCCAAGGGTAAAAAAGTTTTTTTTGGTTTGAAAACTTCAAAATGGGGGGGGAATTGTTGGGTTAATCTAAACAAATTTTCAGCAAACCCCAGAGTTTTAAAATTTGGCTAGTTGGGTTTGCTTTTTAAAACCCAAAATTAAAAATTTTTCATTTCCATTTTATTCAGGCCAATTAAAATTTTTAAAAATGAATTTAACCAAAAAATTTTAAAAAAAAAATTAAAAAAAAAAAAAATATAAAAAAGTACCTTTTAGTCCCTTTTAAAGAATTTGCCCTTGTTTTTTTTAAACATTTTAAAACGGGGTAGGGAACCCAATTTCAAAAAAAATTTTTCATTTTTCAATTGATTTCCCCCCGGGAAAAAAAACCTTCTGTTTTTAACCCAAAAACTGTGAAAAAACCTTCCGGGAAAGTTTGATTGAAGTTTTTTGGCCAAAACCTTTTTACCCCAAAAAATGAAAAAAAAATTTTTTGGGGGTTTTTAAACCCAAAAATTTTAGTGTTTTTGCTTTTTTAAGCCCTTCTTTACTTTTGCTTGATTTTTATTCTCCCGGTTGCGAAATTTTTTAAAATTTTGTTTCAGTGGCGGAATTATAACCGGGGGGATTAAAGTTTTCAACCCCTATATTTTGCTTTTGGTCCCAAATTTGGACCCAAAAATTTTTCATTATTTTTTTGTAAAAACTAATTTTTAACTAGTATTTTAACATTCACCATTTAAATTAATTTATGTATTTGGGTTGATTGGGGTAAACAGTATTTTTGAAATAAAAATTTTAACCACTTTTGTTAACATATTTTTTTCCCCCTTTCCAATTTTAAAACCGAAAAGGGCCTTTTCCCAATTTAGCAAAACAAAAAACACCTGTTTTGAGAAAAAAATTTTGGATAAAGGGGTTTTTTGAAATTTTTGGGAAATGGATTATAAAAATTTATAAATTAAAATTTAAACTAATTTTAAACCCCAAAAAGGGGCCCAAACATATTTAAGCCCCCAAAAAATATTTTTTTTGAAAAAAAAGGTTTGACAAACCCCTTTAAATAAACTTGTACGCCTAAAGAAATTTTAAATTTCCTTTTTCCCAAACCCCAATTTTTATATTCCCCCAGGGAAATTAAAAAAAATCTAAAAGGGGGTGCCCTTTCCCCAAATTTTGGTTATTTCAAAAAACAAAAAATAGGGGTTTTTTCTTTCAAAAGGAAAATTAAAAAGGCCTTTATGTTTTTAAAAAAATTTTTGCTTTTTGGTATATGAATTCCAAAAATGTTTGCATATTTATTGGGAAAAGCATTTTGAAAAAATAAATTTTAAAGAAACATTTCAAAAAATTTTTGTTAAAGGATGAATAAAAAAAATAATAAAAATTTTAATTTATTTAAAATTTTTTATTTTTAAATTTCACTTTTTTTTTGCATGTCATGTTTATCCCCAGTTAAATTTTAAAACCCATTCCAATTTTTTTTTTAAAAAAAAAAGTTTTAAATGGGAGAAAATTTGAAAAAAATTTTAAAAATTCGTCAAAATCTAAACGAAAAAAACGTTACCACGGGAAATTTTTGTTTTTAAAACCCCTTTGAAAAGTTTTAACTTTATTTTTTGTTTTTTTTGTTCCCCAGAAATGGTTTACTACAAAAACCGTGACTAGAAAAAAAACTTCCATTTTGGGAAAATTTTCCCTTACAAAAATTATCAAAAAGGTAAAGTTAACATTTTTAAACCTCTGAATTTTGCCTTTGGTTTTGCCGAACTTTAAATTTAAAACCCCATTTTTCCTTTTTAAAGGGGAAAGGGTTTTCCCAAAAAATTTAATTTTAAAAAAATAAAACAGTTGGGGCAGTTTGGGCCTGCCCCAACTTACGGAAAATGAAAAAACCCTTTTGGTCAGGCCTTCTAAAAACCTGAAAAAAAAGGCTTAAATAAATTTTTGGTTCCCTTGCAAGTTAAGTTTTTAAAATTTCAATGCCAATTTTTTTGGTTTTTTTTGTTTTTGGAAAATTCTAAATATTTTTTAGTTTTTTTTGCTCATTTTCTTTTGATTCCGGGAAAAAAGAATGCCCAATTTTTTTTTTCTTTTAAAATTTTATTTTGGGTTTCCCCATTTTTTTTTCACCCCAAATTTCGAAAAAAATTTTATTTAGATGTTTTTAAAATTTTTTTAAAACCCCTTTTGATTTTTTAAAAATTTGGGTTTTAAAAAAATTTTTCACCGGGTTTAAAAATTATTTTTAAAAATTATTTTTCCCAAAATTTTGATCTAAAAACGACAAGAAAGGTTCCCAAAACAAAGGGTTAAGGGGGAACCTATTGGAATTCAAACACTTTGGGATTTTGGGAAAATTTTTTTGTTAAAACCCCTTTCTTTAAATTTCCACCAATTTTTGGCCCAATTTTTTGCTTTGGGCTATTTTTTAAAAATCCCGTAAATCTTTTGAAAGAAGAGTTTTTAAAAAAAAGTTTTTGACCTTTTTTCAGGGGGGTTGCTACCCCCGCGTTTTTTAAAAAAAGGGGACCATTTTTTAAAACTTTTTCCCCAAAGGCAAAGGGCCCGAAAGGGATTATAGGTAAGCAAAAATTAAATTGTAAACAAAATTTCTATGGAAAAAAAACCCCCCACCACTTCCCCCCTTAAAAAATTTTAAAAAAAAATTTTCCAATTTTCAAATTAATTTTTACTCTTGTTGTTTTCCATTTATTCGCCCAAATTATACTTTTTCTTTTTTGTTTTATTTAAATTATTTTTTCTAGATGGGGGAAAACCCGGTGACTTTAGTTTAAAGGGGTGTTTTTTGCCTTTTAAAACCCAAGGAAAAAATAAAGGGGGTTTCCCGGCCCTTTTGATCGATTTACGACCCTTTTTCTTTATAGGGACTCCGGTACCCCGTTGGTTTCCGGGAACGGGGAACAAAAAACGTTAAATTTTAAAATATAAATTGCAGAATTTGGGTTTTCCCCAATCGAACTTAAAAAAATATTTTTAAAAACCAAATATGCCCTTGGGTTTGGGTAAGCATTTTTTCTTTGATTTTGTTTAAATCGACAAAGCAAATAAATATTTTTTGTTATTTTTTTAATCTAAAACTTATTAAAACTGATTTAAATTTATTTAAAATTTTTATTTTGATATTTTTAACATAAAAAAAATAAAAAAGGGATAAAATAAATTTGTTTGTTTTTTCATTTTTCAGGCCTGAAATAGATGCATTGAAAAGGGGGGCCCCAAATTTTTGGGATGGGGGTTTAATTGTCCCAAGAAAATGGCGGGAAACCCCCGGTAAAAAAGGATGTACCTTATTTTTTAACCATTGGAGGTACAGTAACATTTTTTATTATCATGGGTAAAGAAAAACATGGGCCCAAAACTGAAATTTACAAGTCTTGATGAAGCGTAAATCTTAACTTAATTATTATTTTTATATAATAAAAGATTTGAAGTACATAAAACTAAATGGAAATTTTTTTTTCAGGGGCCAAAATTTTTTTCACTTTAACACAATACAATCGCAAAAGGGTCCCCTTAAAATTTAAGCCCGGGGGAGGTTCAATTTTTTTCGGAACCTAAATTTTATGGTTCACGCCCAAAATTTTTTTTTTAACATTTTGAAAACTTATTTTGGGTTTTAAAAAAAGTTTTCGCTTTCATCAATTTCGTGCATAAAATAAATTTTTTTCTGTTTTTCTAAATAAACATAAAGTTGTAACTGTTAACCATAAAAGAAAATTGATAAAATAATAATTGGGAGATTAATGTGCTCATGACTAAACATTCAACATTCATACAGGATGAACAGGTATTGTCATAATGTTAGAAATAACCATTTTCTTTAATGTAAAGAGTAATAAGTTATTATGTATATTTACAATTAATTAAGTTCACTTTATATTTAACCCCATTGTCTTCTTATTTCAACATGCCATGTTATTTCAGGACCTGGTAGAATTTCATTATCACATAGTTCGTTTCAGTCGTGATTTTTTTTGGGACAAAAAATCATTCTTCTCGGAGGGGTTTTTCAAACCCTTTTGAAACCTATCTTTATACGCATTATATTTTCCGGGGGTTTGGGTTTGCGCCCTTTTTGTACAAACTTTTCTACTGCATAATTGTTTTTCAGAAGCAGGTTCCTTTTAAATTTTTAAATTTTGTATAAAAAGAAATGTCGTTATTTAAACTTTTGGAGGGAAAAAAGGAACACCTCTCCCCGACTTTTTAAAGGGGCCATTTGACTTTAAATCTTTTGCCCTTTCCCCTTTAAACCCCCGTAAATGTTTGTGTGAAGTTCCCCAACACAAGAATATTTTAAAAACCCTTTTTTGAATTTAAATCTTTGTAATTGCTTTTTTAAAAAAGCTTTTAATTATATAATTTTTTCTTTTTAAAAATTAATTTTTCCACCCGCCCGGTGTTTGGGAAACAGTTTTTACATAAAAGGGATATTAATACTGTATAGCTCGCAAATCCGTTTTTTTAAACCCCCGGAGTACAAAAAGGGAAAAAATGTTTGGGAATTCCCTTTTCCCGAAGAAAAAATGAATTTTGGCGCCCATTCTTTTATATTCGTTTGACTTTCATTTTGACTTTATAACGACTTTGACAATTTTCCCTTTTTTAAAACACATTGCTTTCTATCACAAAAAAAGCTATGTAGCTTAATGAGGAAAATAAAACTATAGGATAAAACTGACTTTTATGTTCAAAATGCAGAGTTCCCAAATTTCAACATTAAATGTTGTTTTAAACCAGAAACATGACCAGGTCTCACGCCGGTTAAATTTAAAATTAAAGACAAATTCTAGTTAAATTTTTAAATTCAAAATCTAACGGAAAAAACGCATTTAAATAGTTTTGTTTTGGGGTACGTAAAAAAGTTTTTTGGACATTTGTAACTTTTTGTTACGTGCTTTTTCTTAAATTCCTTTTCGCATGCTTTGTAAACACCGCATTTTGGGGCCCCAAACCACTTGGGGCCCGCCCAAAAGTGCGTTGAATTTTCCCCCGCATTTTGGGGGTAAACCATTTTTGGGGGTTAAAAATCGAGAAATTGCCCCAAAGTGGTAAAATATGCTACATATCAACGCACTTTGGGTTCCAGAGGTCAAAAAAGGTGAAATCTGAGTTCTGTTTAAAATTACTGAGTTTGACTTATTTTCGATTTTGCGGGCATTTAAAAATTTGAGGTGGGGTTTAAGATGGCGGGGGCGATACTTTGTTTTAAAGCTTAATGATTAAAAATTTCATTAATTTTTCCCCCTTGGGAAATCTAAAAAATTTTTTCATAAATTAAAAACAAATTTCCCGGGGGCAAAAAAAAGTTTACATTTGGCCTTTTTTTTTTAAAATTTTGCATGATAAATTTTTTTTAAGTTTTGCATTTATTTTTTTTTTTTTTTTTTAAATTTTGCATTCATAAATTTTAAATTTTAAATTTTTCTCATATTTTTTTTTTTTGTTTTTTGTACATATTTTAGCCCAAAAAAACAGCCTTACATCTCATAAAAGCCCCTAGTTTAGTATAAAAATAGCACCCGTGGGTTTTGGGCACATTTCGGCCCTTTTTTTGGAACGGTTTCCCGTCGTTTTTCCCCGCAAGTCTGGGTTTTGGCCATTTTTTAATTTTATTTTGGAATTTTTTTTAATCATGTTTTTTATTTTTATATACTATAAAAGTAGTGTCTTTTTTTAAAAAAGGCTGGTTTATTTTTTTGATCAGTTAAATTTTTCCATGAATTGCTGCCCACTCAACCCCACCCCCTTTTAGAAAAAAGGGGGGGGGGGATTACTTTTAAAAACCCAGCCGACCCCTGGTAAAATTTTTCCCCCCTGCGGGGGATATTCAGATAATTAAAAATTTTCCTTTCCTTATGTCCCGGGAAAATGCGACATTTTAAAAAACGATTCCCTTTTTTTAAATCGCCCCTTCCCCCTGGGGAAGGGAGGTGGTTACAAATGACTGGGGTATTACAATAATACAAATTAAAAAAATCTAAATTTGGGCCTTTATTCCATGATTTAGAAAAAAAAAAATATATACTGTTATATTACTAAAAAGTGTTGTTTCTTTTTGATCCTCCAAAAATGAAAAATTTGGTAATTTTCAAATGACGTTTTTTCAAATGGGGGACTTAATTTACAGTGGGGGAAAGTTTTTTAAAAAAGGGTGTTACGAAAAAAGTAAAAAAAAAAACCAAAAAAAAATATGTTTCAAAAAATCTCCCAAAAAAAATTTTGTATCAAAACTAAAAATTTAAAAAATGTATGCCCAAAAAAAAAAAAGAATAGTTGCCCAAAACTAAAAAAAAAATATGTATTTCAAAAATCAAAAAAAAAAATGTCGACCACGGATTTATATTTTAAAAAACCCCTAGACGTACGACAAACCCAAAAAAAAAAAAAAAACAAAAAAAATGTTTCAAAAAAAAATTCCCAAAAAAAAAAAAAATTTAAAAAGCACTTTTTTGCCCCCGTTTTAAAAAAAATCAGTTCAGAAATTTTTGGGATTTTCCCAAAGTTAAAGATTTCCCGCGAAAAAAATTCCCCTTTTTGGGCAGTCATTTACTTTTATAACTTTTTGGTTTCCCCTGTTGAGGCCCCTTTTAAAAAAGTTGGGGAAAGAAAAAAAATTTCAGTTTTAAATTTTTTTTTCCCCCGAAAAATATAAAATATACTCTAAATTTCAATGTCCTGGTGAACAAACAAATTTTTTTTGATCGGGCTATAAATTTGTGATTTTTACAAATACATTAAATTTAAATTATCAACCAAAATTAAATTTTTTGTAAGCCCCTAAAAACCCTTTGCCAGAGGCTTTTTAAAAGGGGAATCTTTTCTACTTCTTTAGAAAAAGCAAAATGAATTTTTAAAAATGTTAAATTAAAAGGTATTAGAAAATGTTTAAGGGTGCTTTTTCCTTTAATAAATAGCGATAAATGTGAAAATTTTTTTTAAAAAAAGTAGTCAAAAAATGTAGTATTTCCATATAAAAAACTTTTTTCACTATAATTTTTAAATTTTTTTCAAAAAAACAAAGATGAAAAATTTATGGTTTAGGTAATTGACCAATGTTTTATTTTTTTATAATAATTAAAAAAACATTTAAAAAAAAAAAACTTTTTAAAAAAAACAAAAAAAAACATAATGGGGCCCTTTTAAAAAGTTATTTTAAACCCCGGGGGGACGATATTTCTAAGCTCCGCTTCTTTTAAAGGCGACTAAATTAAATAGTTGAAAATTTATTTCTGCCTGTACGGATACTTTCTTAAAACCGCACTCACACCCAGTTAAGTTTTCTTATGTGTTTACATTTAGCTTTAAAAAAATGGCTATTTTAACATATTTTCAGGGCCAAAAATTTCTTTAAAAGTCTTACATGTTTTTGTGTCTATTTAATAACCTTGATTTTTGTTTTACCATTGGTTTTTATTTAGTGATTTATCTAGACTACACTATATTATCTAAAGGCACATAAATGAACATTAAATTTTCTCTGACCCCCAAAGTGCGGTCGTTTGCCTGATGTTAAAAAAATGCATATGTACCTCTTTAAACGCACTTTGGTAGGTCGAAATTGGACCCCAAAGTGCGTAACGCACTTTGGGGTTGGACCCCAAAGTACGTAACGCACTTTGGGGTCGGACCCCAAAGTGCGTTTGACCCCAAAGTGCGGTGTTACAATGCTTTTACCTTTGGATGTATTTTAGAAGGTGTAAATATCTTGTAGTAAATGTTAAACAAGTAAGCATGCAGTGTTTACTTTCATAACCTTACATGAAGTTATCAAGTATAATTGAAATATGCATGTGTATGTTTTAAAATATATCCTATTGACTGACTAACGAAAAGATCATGAATCCAATAACCTGTTTATAATTGGAATATTATAAGTTTCACTTATTTACGCATGTCACGTAGATCTAATTGTTTTTTTTTAATTTTCGATTACATTTTGTGCATTTAGATACTTTTTATCCTTGTCCTTTGTTCTTTTTATAACTTTTTTTCATATTTCCAAACGTGGAAAATAGATTAATTTTCTATTATAACCAATGCTAGCTTCTCGTTCTTTCAATTCACTAACAAGCATTTATTCTAAAACATCAATAGATAATGAGGTTCCTTTTATTTTTATATGAGTTTAAAAGTTTGCATGAATTATTTTATTAACTGATATTCATAACAACACATGTATTACATGTATGTTTTTGATTACATGATTCAAATTTTTTTTCCAATTATCAGGTATTAAAAAATGAGGCCCTCACCTGATTTTGACGGGGAAAAAATGACAGGAAAAAAACAAAAACAACAAAAAAAATTTATCCATCATGTTACTCCACCTTGCTTTTTTGCTTTTAAAAAGAACAAAACTGTAACAACATTATTAACATAGGTCAAAGATCATCATTTTTTTTAAAAAATTTTTTAAGTAAATTTTAGAAATCTGTAAAATGTTATAAAAAAATTTAAAAGACTGTAAAAGAAAATATTTTTTCGTTTAACAAAAGTTTTTTTTGGGATTTTTTAGTTTTTTTTAAAATATAATTCAAAATTGACATATTTTAAAACAGTTTTTTTGGATAATAATATTCTATTTCCTTAGAGTAAATTAGATCAAAATTCAAAAAATATTATTATAGTACCATGAATATTTAGTTTTAAGTATAATGATATTCCTTTGCGAAATTCTGTTATTCAAATAATACACTTGAAACATGTTGTTTTTATGTAAAACTGTCAATGATACAATGTATCTTTAACAATATCATAAATATTTATATTTACTTTTTTTATTTGTAAATATTTTTAGAGCCCGGTTACTATGAGGATGGACAATTTGGTATCCGTTTAGAAAATATTGTCATGGTGAAAAATGCTTCAACAACTGTAAGTTTTATCAAAGTCTTAAGTCAACTTCAGATTTAAATAATTACTGGGACTGATAAGAGTAAAATTTTCTTTTTTGCACTTTATCCAAATAAATACCCAACAGATTTCGTGTCAGTTCTGTGGCAACTCTGGTCTAAAAATAATGATAAGATTCGTAGGATTTTCTTGACAGATTATATGATTTTGATTTATGAAAAAGAACAAGTTTGTAAATGTTTGTACAAATACAGCGTTTATAACCTTGACATTCCTTATTTATTATATAAATAGTAAGGCGCATTCAGACAGAATAACTGTTATAATTAAAAGTGTTATCCATTAATAAGAATGAGATGTGGAAATTGTAACTGTTGTTTCTGTAAAGCTATTTGACCAATTTATATCTGCAGTACAAGTTTCCAGGGACACAGTTTTTGACATTTGAACATGTCACTTTGGTGCCGTACGAACCACATCTTATTAAATTTGATTTGCTGAACGAAGACCAGGTAAGTTCATTGTTTTCTTTTAATTTTCCGTTCACGGACATAAGTCGCATTTTTTGCCCTTAACTTTACATTAAATTGTCTGAAAAAGCCGTACACGGCCTTTACTTTTCCAAAGGTTTATTAAGAAATTACAGTAAGAAAGTGGCAATTTTCATCAGCACATCATCCTCAGGCAGTGTATTTCCCTTTTAACATGATCATATGTAATTTGTACATTTATTTACTCAAACTGTTTTTGTTTGTAGATTGAATATTTGAACGATTACAACATGAGAGTTCGAGACCAGGTTGGACCAGAGTTGAAGAAACAAGGAAAAAACGCTGCATATGATTGGATGATGAAGAAAACAGAGAAAATTTCAGTTAACAATAAGGACACTTCAGGCGCGAACACAATAAATATTACACTACCTCTTATTATAATTGCTTTTTTCCTAGAATATTTCTTTTCTAACGTATGATATGTTCAATAGCCGTCAATTTTTTTTTATCTTTTGTTCTTTTTGATCAAGCTTTTTTATTTAATGAGGTTTATTTTTGCAAAATAATTTTATACAAATATTTTTTATTGTTATGTCTTTTCTAAATCTATTTTGTTCATTCTCGTGGTACGAAAGACATACATTATATGTATGTGTATTGACATATATATTCTGTTTTATCCTTGCATGTGAGTATTTTCGCGAAATTGACATCTTAAGAGGTAACCTGCAGTTGATTCCTTTTTACAAAACACATTATGTGGGGATCCATAGAAGCGATTATGGAAAATATATAATATATTTGTTGAAAACTAAAGCCATGTCAACATATTCATAAACAAATATTTATGTGCATAGGAATGTAAAAAAATGTACGCTCTGCAACATGTAGGCGAAAGATATCCTTGGTGAAGCATGTGATAAAATATTAAAGCACTGTCTAAAGCAAAAGCAAGTGAAAAGTAGCAAATATCAATTGGAGATATTGGTAAATGCAGTCGATACGAGAAATAAACATCGATCTATTGACCACAGAACAAACAAGAATTCAGTCGTATGAGTAATTTTACTTTTACTGAACAATTGATATTTAACTTGAACTGTGACATTTTAATGTTTATATGGAATGCATTTTGATGATTAAAGATACTAAAAAGACGATGATTCATATATAGGTTAACCTTTAAGAAAACATCAGAATAAGGGCGGATAGTTATCATATCATATTGTCATTCAGATTCTAAATAAGAAAAAAAAACTCAAAGAAAGGAACGTTGGTTTAAATTACATTTTCATTTGAAACACATTTGAGCTGCGTCATGACAAAACCAACGTAATGCGTTTGCGACCAGCATGGATCCAGACCAGCCTGCGCATCCGCACAGTCCGATCAGGATCCATGCTGTTCGCCTACATACTCTATAACAAATAGAAAAACTGAAAGCGAACAGCATGGATCCTGATCAGACTGCGCGGATGCGCAGACTGGTCTGGATCCATGCTGGTCGCAAACCCATTATGTTGGTTTTGTCATGACGCGGCTCATTTTATTTTAATATTAACATTTTCTTTCATATAAGATAGATACAGTCATAAGTCAATTTTACAATGTTTTATTTGATGTTATTTTTGTTATTTTTATCATTGTTTCTATTGTAAGCAGATATTTTTGTACCAGATGTTTGATTATTTTGTTTATTCAATATGTTTGCACTTCTATTTGATAAACAGCATGCATGTCGTGTTCTATTGCTTTGAGTGTAACTTTCGGTTGACTGGAAAGAGGAAGAACGTTAACTCGTTTTTTATCATTATATCAATTAGATAAAAATATAAAGAATAAACAACTATTAAAGAACTACAATTTTTTTTGATGTAATCTATTATTAGATGAAACTTTATAAAGTGGTTTTTGTGTTATAAACTGTTGTAGTCTTGTCAATCAGTGATATATTTTGCAACATTCTAATCATTTATCATTTGTTTGCAGATCGTTTTCTTGTGTCAGTGTTTTAATTATCATCATTTCTTAAAAAGTATATGCAATATTAGTTTGCTAAAGCGTAAATATATATTGGCAAATTAATTTTCAAATCCAATTTTATGTTGACAAGACAAGAAATTACTTGACTATACAATGTAATTATTTTACCATTTAAAATTTTAGACAAAAACGCAAAATAAAAAAAAATCGAAGATAAAGCAGTCAACAAACTTTTAATGTTTATACTTCCTACATGGATGGAGAAAATAAAGACATACACTGTTTAGTAACAATTTTCTTTGCATCATATACATGTACTCGTATATTTATTCATATCATTATGTCTTTTATAGGCAGATATTCATTACGCACCAGTGATTCGATAATTAACAATATACTAGTATTTAAATATATTACTTTTGCTGCTTGTATGTGATGTTTTCGCCATTTATTTAATAAAATATATTCTCTGGGTTTAGTTTGTTGGTGTTTGTTTTACAGTCATATTTAATAATTCCTGTATATAGGCATGTAGGAAGGTTTTTCTGATTGGGAATGAGGCGAGGGCAGGTTTTAATTCCTTTTTGAGGATGGATTTCTGGCAGACCTGCTTCAGAAAAAAAGACAAACTAGATATTAAATGGTGGCTTCTGCTACACTTTAAGGTGCGAATTTTAAAGTACAAATTTATACATTATTCACAGAAAAGTTCAGACTGTAACCTTTGCAAGACTGCTAGATACTATTATTTCCTATGAGTTTTCATGTGATATAAATCAGAGTGATTACTGTGCAATATACATCTTTAAGCCCTTTGAAATACTCATGCTTATATCTTAAATGTAGCTTTCATTATAATAAATGAGCCGCGTCATGACAAAACCAATATAATGGGTTTGCGACCAGCATGGATCCAGACCAGCCTGGGCATTAAGGATCCATGCTGTTCGCTATCAGTCTCTCTACTTGTAAAAGGGTTGGTAAGCGAACAACATGGATCCAGATTAGACTGCGGTCTGGATCCATGCTGGTCGCAAACGCATTACGCTGATTTTGTCGTGACGCGGCTCATTAATATCTGAATAAAATGTTCATAAATAAAGCCTCCTAATATTGACTGGTGAAAGCTCTAATATGCAATTATCTGAGACAATATGCTTTGATACTCAAGTTGCTAACATTTACTAAGGCTGTCTTTTGGACCGTGATCAGTATGGTCATTTAAACTGCTTTCCCCTCTGATATTCAAGGGGCTAATAACAATTTTACAGTACATTCACAAAGGTGCTCATGTCCTAGGCTTAAAATATTTGTTTACACTAACCACGAGTAACGTATTGAAAGCATCTTTATGACTCTTGAGTATACAATAAAAAAAAACAAACAAAAAAATAAATACCCCCCCAAAAAAAAACAAAAAAACAAAACAAAACAACAACAACAACAACAACAAAACAACCCAACCCTTAGCAACACACAAACTAACTTATTAATTTAGCTTGTGACAAAACCTGAGGATAATAAGCCAACTTGCAGTTTTATCACTTATTCTGCTCGAATTATTTGGGTGGGGGAAGTCACTGTTTGAAAATGATTGTCCTCTTACTTCTGTATAGCATCATATACTGGAAACAAATCAAAGTCTTTGGCAGACAGAAGGTAAAAATCGCAACGTATACAGCTTATGGCCTAATAATCGACTATAACACCGTATGTATACAGTTTTAATTAAACGAATACAATTGATGTTAACTGTATACTGATGTCGCCATATACAGTTTATTTTTGTAAGATGACGAAGATGATCGTGATCGTCATCACTTTTGCTCAGCTTCGTACACGACAACGGCCACTTTAATGATGTCGACTTTGACCATGTCTTCTACGACTTTAGTCACTTTAAATACAGCTGCGATTATGACCACGACTATCACAGCTACGACTCTACAATAGAATTCAATAATTTTAACCACGAATACGACTCCTAAGACTTATGAATACCAGAACAGCTACAGTACTAAAATACAATGATTGCTAAGAATTGAGAACGGCTAAAACTACGAAAACAACGGATACAATGTTAAAGACTGCGCTGACGACTACGGTAACGACTTCAACCATATACTTAGAGGTTAATACTTGGTTGCTGCTCGCCATTATGCGATAATGGCCCGAAGATGTGTATAATGGCCTGAGGGCCGCAGAAATAATGGTAGCGAAATGTCAGACCCTGATGCTGTTAATTGCTTTTCTGAAGCGGTTACTTCCCTCTATATGTACATTAACGCCGAAAATTCAGGGGAGATCACTGCGTAAAGATTGTCAAATGACAGGCGCATTAATTTTCAAGAAAAATAGTTTGTGAATGGTCGAAGATTTCTAATATTGTTTTATTCTTTGTCAGATATTCATGCTTATAGTAAGCTCCATGATTATTTACATCTATGTTAAACAACAGGGTTACAAACCCTAATTTAGAATAATCTGGTTTTCTTCAGGCCGTTTTCATATAACTTCACCGTGGCCGAGGGGTTTGCACGCTCGCTTAGGAAGCGAGAGGTCTGGAGTTCAAATCCCAGTTAATGCAACTCATTTTTTTTTTAAAAATTGTTTAAGTCAAATAAACATCGAATAGAATAACAGTGTTGCAATTAGTCTTATAGCCAATTTACGACAGTTAAAACACTGGAAACAGCATTGGTGGCACTATAAAAAACAAAAAAAAAATGGTTTATAATCTCACAACCTTTACCTTTCTGACATTCTGAGACCCAAACAAATTCTGCGCCTTCTGTGCTTTGATTATGATTACGACCACTACTACAACGATAATGACCATGACTGTTACTTTTGGAATAAAAGAAATAGGTTTCAGAAGTCAGAACTTAGTCCTATTAATATGACGTTGCTTTGAGCTTTTTAACTCTTTTGCAATACAACGTTATATCGAAAATGTTCACAAACCCATACTGAAATGAACGTAAAAGTGCATTTGTTTTGAGCTGTTCATGAACAGAAGTAAAAAAAAACCATTTTAGTTAAATATCAAAACTGTTACATCCGAAAATGTTTTAATCCCTTTATTTAATTAAATTCATTATACACCCGATAACTAAAGGCCGTTACACTTAGCGCTAAACCTGATTGGTTAATTGAATGCACGAGTTTAAAAGAGTTAAACTACATGTACATTTAAATGTTAATGAACGAAAAATTTACCCCGTCAGTGTGTATGAATATGTTTTCTGGTCATTCTGTTTAGCGTTTAATTTAAACAGTATGGCGGATAGGAAAAAGAGAATGTTGTTTGTATTTATTTTAAATTGATAATAACACTGTTCGAGATTTTTTAAATAATGATTGAGTATAAAATTGAAAGAATATTTGATAAACTTTTGATTAAAACTTGAAAGGCAAGATGTTATTATTTTTTATGTTGCTATGCTTTTATGAGCAATATCTATTAGACGGCGGGCTTGATCATCATTAACTTAGTCCTGTTACGTCTATCCTGTAAGGCTACTGACGGGTTTACTTCAATAAAACAACAACTTAAGCGTCGTTACAGCTTAAGCGTTATTATATTATCATAACCGTATATGTCTCTATGTTTCCTGATTATTTAAGTAATAGCAAAGTATTCTAATTTGTATGTTTTGCACACAGTTTCGTACTGCAAAATGAACTGTTAACATCGTCAGCGTAGGTGCCAAACATCATCGAGTGTTTCGCCCCGTTATACCTAGGACACTCTAGGACGAATTCAATCAAGCTTTCACCTATTTTATACTTAATTTTTGCTTTCCTGCTGACTTACGTAACGTCGATGGTTCTATTCCGTGCAATATATCGAAGACAAATGGGCACCTCCAGTAAAGCTGGAAAGTATTCATATGATCATTACAGTGTTGGTGCGATATACCCCCGCCCCCAACAAGATAACCATCTGTATTACATGGTACAATCAACAATAAAATTTCACATGTGTACGTGCTTTGTTATTCATTTATACTATTTATTAATCGTCTTGAAACGTAGTAATTGAATTTATGCTAAAGGCACATGATGCCTCAGAAACGAAGAATTTTTTTTCTTTATTGGAAAATGGCAAACATGAGTTTAAGAAAGTTTAAATGATTGTTTAGATTACCTGAGAAAGTAGCGCTCAATGAAAAATGTATAATCATGAAAATACCAATTGTATATAAAGTATTATTTTGACTTCTATCACTATATATTGTGAATATAACAGTATGTTTTAGTTATATACTAAAACATGTTAGTTAACATACAGTACAAAAATTTACAAATTATACAAATGTTTATACTATGATGAGTACAATCGTCGAAGCAGATGGCTCTAATATACGAGTATCAATTAAGGATCTGATTATTTTTTAAGACACTATGTATGAAGAAGAACACCAATAAACGAATTTCGACGATGGCCGTCGTCGTGAACCTGAAATGTTGAAGAAGAATATCCAGAAGTACACATTATCCAAACTTGGTCACCTATTTCCATCCTTGTAAGAGCGCTAACAGAACTACAGCCGGCGTATTTGTGTTTATTTTCATCGGCTTGTTCAAACTGTTGTGATCTTGCTATCCAGTCACCATCTTTCACAATAGCATAGTGAATGACTAGTGCGTGTGTGTTGCAAACATGGGCGGTGAAGTGATACAGGCCATTAGTTGGAGCCGTAAATATTCCACTTTTAGTATCATATCCTTTCCCTTCGTTAATGAGCACCGACTGAAGAATAAGAATTTCGTTTTTTTGTAAACTCTTGTCGAATGGATTATAAGCACTGAAAGCTACCGTCTTGTGACCGAAAGTTTCTGAAAATAAAATAAATTAACATATTTGTTTTTTCGGATTATATGATTATGTTAAGATTTACTTGAAATTCCTTGTCTTCCTTGTCAATATTTATACAGAAGATAATCAGAAATTTGCACATAGGCTAAGTGCAAAGTCATTACTTTACACATATTCCATATATTTTGTAATGTTATTTGCTTGTACATTTAAGTATCATCTTCTTAGTACAAGAAAAAGCTTAACAAACAAACACGCAAACAATCAAGCAAACAAACAAAAATCTTGATTTATAGTCTTTTTTGTTGCAACAATTCAGCTGCGATGCCTAGAGATTGAAAGTAAAAACCTCGATTTTTGAATAAGTAGTTGAACATCAAACTAAACTATTACCAAAAAAGGGATAATTTAAAAACAGACTCCAAAACAAAATGTGATAGTGTAGTGATGATTTAAGTTTGTGCATATTACCAATTTTAATAATAACATTACTTCTTTAAATAATTTTGCAAACAAGTATCATTATACGTATTAGTTCCAAATCCCATTTCTAAAATAAAAGTTTCAAAATTCAATAAAATTTAAATAAGATCTATTAACAAACAAACAATAAAATACCTACTTAATTGAATAAGTTGTGACTAAGTTATTT